AGTCCCTTCTTCATACTCCTCTCAGGATCTTAGGCATGAACACACATGTGCCTGGCTTAATTTTCAAGGTACTTAGTCTGAGATTTGAACCACAGTCTGCCATGTGGGAATCCAGTGCCTTAAGCATCACACTGCCTACTGGCCCCAGTGTCTCTCTTTTTTTTTTCCTTTAATCACCATATTCAGTGTGAATCTCCAGGTTTTGACACATGGATACAGTCAAGTAACACAACCACAATCAATCTATGAGCTCCCCAAATTCTCCCAGGCTCCTGTTTGGTCAACCTCACTCCACCCTCAGCACTTGGCATTTACTGATCTGTTCTCTATCCTTATAAATTTGCCCTCACCTAGTTCTGGTTTACCAGGATTTAGCAGCTGTACTTTTAATTTTTAATTCTACCAGTCATAAATGTATGTCATTTTCAAAGTCAAGTCTTTTCTACAAGGTTTATAATGAAAACAGCCATACCTTCTTAACTAATTTCTGAAGAGTTTCAACTCTTTAAGAAATCTTTCAACTCTTTTAGCCAATTTTATGGTATGTATCCATCTTTATTTCTGAATAATTATGCTTTTATTATTTGATATTTTTATTCAGTTTTATTTATTAGCTTCTTACTATGGAAGATAAGAATTTAGTTCTTTTATGCCCCCTACCACGCATTCTCTGTGTCTGTTAGTTCTTAGTAGAGATAACCAGACATAGGTACATAGTATTTTTATTTTTATTTTTTTTAGTATTTGTTTTTTTAGTTGTTATTATTTGGATCAATATGCCTTTGCCTTACAGCACTCAGAGAGATACTTTGATTACATTTCCTTTATTCAGTTATATGTTTTTCTAGAGTTAAGGTTTTCTCTTGGGTAGCTATGGACCTACCTCTGTTTCTTGCTCAAGGTTTCTGACAAGTGTTTTTACTTCTTTCTAATATGTTCAGACCGATGAGATATTTTTTCAGTTTCACTTGGTTTTTTGTTTTGTTTTGTTTTGTTTTCTTAAATTCATTCTTCACGAAATCTTCTGCCCTCCTGTCTTGTTTTGGACTGCTCGGTCTTTCAGTCAGTTACATAGCCCTCTTTCTGAAACCTCCTTTTTTCATCTTAGGGTCAGAAAAATAGGAACTACCTAGGTGTTGCAACAGAGCTGTGGATCAAATGGGTGGATCAAAAGATTAACACCTTTATTATTTTGTCTTATCTTTGTATATGAAAAGTCAAGAGTTCTCACAGATGCTATCAATTCCAGTCCAGCACTGTAGGGTTCAATCTAGTTTTTTTCCCTTTCTGTACTTGTAATCCCTTTCTTGGACAGTAAGAAAACTGACTTTCCATGTTTTTAATACATTTACTTATTTGATTAATTCCCCTATGGGTAACCAGTCTCCCATCTTCATTGCTACACCTTTTCCCACGAGGGTACCCCATCATCTATTCTTTTTCTGATAGCCCATGCCAATCCACCACCCCGTGGGTACCTACCTCATTCTGCTTGGGCTCTGACCTACCATGCCAGTTGGGTCCCTTCCATAGATACCCTCCACCTCCCTTCCCTCACTGCAAATGCCCAGTTGCTCTGCTCTATGTAGGGTGTCAGGACTCTGTTTTGCAGGAAAGGAAACTAAGGGGCCAGGATACCTCTCCCAGTTTCAGCTTCCATTCCTCAAAGTTTTCCTGTTTTCCATCTTCCTCTAGCAAATAATAATATTGTTCACTCAAATGCTTAAGCCCTAGATGGAAATAACCTTTCTATTTAACTTTTCTTCCTCCATTCACTTTGATTTAAAATATTCCCTGATCTTTTTGTCTTGCCGTATGTTCACTACACTCCCCAGTCTCCTCCCTGGTATTCCACCTTCTCCTACATAACACCTCCCTTAACAGTTCATTCTCATATAGCAACCAGTAAGCTCTTTCAGAAGCAGAGGGCATGATGACACTTAAAACCCTCTAATGCTTCCTATCATTCCTAGAATAGGAACCCCAATTCCTCTATGGTGTAAAATACACAGCAGTTAATCCTGGTTACACATTAGCATCACCAGGGGAACTTTTAAGAAGCTCAAAGACTGTGCCCCACGCACATCCAGTTAGATCAGAATATCTGGGGATGTGGCCCAGGTATTTTTTTTTAATTATTGATTTATTATCATTATTTTTAAATTTTAACCAGAGGGAGAAAGAGTAAGCCGCCAGGTTCAGGATTCGAACCGTAGTCAGCCATATGGGAGTCCAGCGCATTAACCACTATGCCACCTGCCAGCCCAAGGTGCTGGTATTTTTAAGAATTCCTTGGCACCCGGAGTTTAGAACCACTCCACCCTCTCACCACCTTCTTGCCTCTTTCCCAACTTTCTCTCTCAAGCTGAGCTCTGGCAAACGTATTTTTCCTTTTGTCTTTGAACTTCAAGCTTATTCTTGCTTTGCAGCTTACTCACTTGATTTGTTGCTGTCTGAAGGTTCCTTTCCCCAGATCTTTTCATGGCTTATTCTTTCCTGCTTCTTAGAGGGAGCTTCCCTTGATCACATGTGAAGTGGTAGCCCATGTCACCAGCCATTCTCTGCCATGTTACTGTCCTTGAGTACTTCTTAGTACGTCATTGTCACAGATCATCTAACTTATTTTTTTGTTTATTTATATTACAGTGTAACCTTTATGGTAACTCTCTCCCTGTGCTACATCCTGCTTAGATTAGTGCCTAATGCATATTTGTCGAATGACTGTTTAGAGAGAAGAGCTGAGGAAGGGATCAGTTAAAGGGAGCTGGAAAGTGCGCAGGAGCCCAAGAGGCATTTGGATAAGTGAGGTGCTTGGGGCAGGTGATAGTCTTGACTGATGGAGAGGAAAAGAAACCAGATGAAGTAAGTAACTTTGATGGTAGAATTAGGAACTCTTGATATTTTCAGATTGGAGTTTACAGGTTATTATTCTGGACTGGAAAGTCTCAAGAAAACAGTGGGAAAATAACCCTTGGCGAAGAATAACTTATGCTCTTCACCTTAGCTGCCTAAATGTACTAAACCACCAGATACAGTGTTTCTTAATACTTGATGCCAAGGAAAATGAGCATTTGCTTTTTCAAGTTCAGCATGGTCATTTTGTATCTTCGGATAGGGGTTATACACACACCACAATTCTAGAGAGGACTTAAGAGATTACAACATTTTTTTCCCCCTAAATGACAGGTTTAGGAAGCATCATTCTGTGCTGAATGACTATACCAAATACTGTTTACAGAAGTATAGACTCATTCTTCTCTGAAAGGGGAGAAAGTCTGTGTTGTGACATCTTGGCATTTTAGGGCATAAAAAGATGAAAATGACTTGGAAAAGACTGAAATATTGTTTCCTCAGCTTGTCTACTCCACGTTTTCCTCAGGTAACGTTGATGACATTCATTCACACAAAGCCATTTTCACATTTTAGCAAAACCAAGCAAGTGTGCACAGACGGTATGGACTCTCGAGATCTGGGAGGAAATATCTAGCTTGGTGGGGTTTTTGTTTGTTTGTTTGTTTTAACACCTGGATCTAACACACTGGCATCCAAAATTGGGGCAGTGTTTTCCTGTTAAAATATTTTTTCTCAACCATACGCCTCAACGCAAGGCACAGTTTTACAGTATCGTATCCCACTCCTTCCTATAGCAAAATCCTTTAAAGTGTTGAACACCACTGGCAGTCTAAAATTTGTGAAAATATTATTGGATCTATGCCAAAAGAAGATAAATTCAGTTTTCTACTTGTAACAGGTACAAACTAGATTATGTGTCTATTTTCTTGATGATTTTATATAGAAAATATTACAGGCAAGTTCTAGAACCTACTGACAGATGCTTGAAGTTTTAATCTACTCACCATCTGTCTATGGTTACCTTACACATGTGTGCTACTTGCAAGTGGGTTTGCTAAGACAAGATCATCACAATAATGCTTCAGTTGACAAGTGAGGAAAGTTACGCAGTGAACTACCTGTGGTCGGTGTTCAGTCTTTATATTTAATATAAAATACCTGTTTATGAACAGATTAAATTATGCAATCCCTCTACAAGATAGAAGGTAGGAAAATACCCATATGTGTGTCTGTTTTTATTGGAATTCTTTTAAAGGAAGTTAAAGCCTTTACATAAAGTATTGGTAAGCAAACCCATAAAATCTTTTTATTGATAGAGGTGTTTTTAGTGTTACCAAGAATTGTGAAAATGGTATTTTATTGTTTGTTTATTTAGATTTTATTTTAGGTGCAATTATTTATACATGTGTTTGCAACAGTTTAAACTTGTAGAATAGTGGTTCTTACCCTGGGAACTCAGAAGAGTGAGAAAGCAAATACAAATGATTTTATAGGGCTAGCTCAGTGTGCTAGTGGTTAAGGGAGCCAGATCCCACATGGCAGACTACAGTTCAACTCCCAGCCCTATAAGTGTGTGCACGTGTGCATGTGTTTGTCTATGTACAAAATCCTGGCAGGATAGAGAAAAGGAGAAGGGATTGCAGTGTGACTATGCCCCATTGTAGGGTGCTTTCTCCCTCTTTCTGTCTTTCTCTGTCTCTGGCAATTAAAAAATAAATAATTTAATATGTACCGTAATTGTGTAAGGTAACTCGTAGATTATGTGTACACACACACACACGAATACACACATATATATGATACAAGGCCATTTTCATTCATGAAAAAACATCTGTTGAGTGACTACAGTATGACAGTTAAAGAGGTTGGGCTGACTTCTATCGTGTTTTCTGTTCTTTCTCCAGAGGAGAAGAGATAAAACTTGGTTGTAACTCAATTTTAAATCTTCTAATTATTAAGCGATTACAGCCAAGAAATGGATCTGGATTTTTTAAGTATAATAAATTAAATATTCGTATTCTATTATATGCTAATTGTCTCTGTGTTCCACCTAGTATAGCTAATAGAACATGTGACTGTATATTGGTAATATCTTCTTATTATCCCAGAAAAAGTAAAGGGTTGTGTGTACTCTTATTCCCTTACAGGTTGGTACAGAGGATATACCCTCCAAAATAAATCTAAAAAGGTATGGCTTATCATTCAGTTTTTATTCCATTTGAAAACTGTCTGCTATCTGGTCCTCTTACCTGCTCTCAGCTGTCTCTAGACTTAGTTTGCTTTCTGTTTGGTTCTTCTTTTGATTTGAAAACAAATGCTCTGACCTGAAAAAGTTGAATTATAGGAGCCAGCAAGTGGCGTGGTGGTTGAGATACTGGATTCCCATATGATCCACCATGGTTTGAGTCCTCGAACCAGCAACTGGGCGGGCACGCTAGGCGTATGTACGTGCGTGTGTGCCCAAAGTCCCAAGAAGAGAATGAAGGAGAGTGGCTTGTGCCATGGCCATCTCCCCGGGGGGTGATTTCTCACTTTCTCTCTCTGTCCCTCTCCAGCATGAGCCACCTGGCAAAAACAATCCAACGAAAAACCTAATTATAACAGTGTAATTCCCATCCATTGTCTTTCCTCCCAGCCAGTTCAAGAAGAAAGTCCTGGAAGACCTTTTGCTCTTTCCCTGAGCTGAGCAGGGGGTTAGTACAACAGCATTGCTCCAAGGGGATCTCCTTTCAGGGAGGGAAAGACCCTCCTTTACTTCAAATGCTGAAATCTCAGAACTGAAGGGTCTTCCTGTTTCCACTTGATTCTTCCTTTATTGTAAAACGGATAAACCAAAGTAGTGGGTTTCAGTCAATTTAGTGATCTATAACCAACATTTTCCAAAAAAAAGGAAAAATAGAGAAAAAAAATGGGATGCAATGGTAAGTACTGTTTCATGAAATCATCTTAGATAATTTTTTAGAGAGATTTTTGTTATAGGGTGCCTGCGTGCGACAGAGACAGAGAGACAGGAAGTGAGAAGTCACCCCTCATGGGGGATGGCCACACCAAAATCCCTTCTCCATTCTACTCTAGGGATTTTGGCATGTTTGCACACGCACCTGGTGTGAGTTTTAAGCCGCCAGGTTTGGGACTGGAGTCGTGGTGGACTGCATGGGAGTCCAGCAACATAATCATTACGTCATCTGCTGGTCCCATTAGATAAATGTTTTTATGATGTTTGTGTCTATTTTAAATTCTATTTTATGTGTTTTGTGTATAGTAGTGAGTTGCCGTAAAAGTACACCTCTTACTATTCATTCATGGGCAGAGTTTGAAAAAGACTGATTTAGATAGTTCCTTTCCCCAGTGCCAAAGCTTCTAACTATCAGGTTAAAGGAAATCTTAATACCCTCTCAGTTTACGTTAGGTCAGGTCAGCATTTTTCTTTTGATACTGCTTGCTGGGGCAACATAGCAGGTCAGCAGTTTCTTTGGAAAGAGCAGCATCAGTGAGGCCTTATTATTTCACCATTAGTTCACATGCCGAATACTGAATCAGGAAAGGGATGGGAAAAACATTGTAAAATTTATCAAGAAGGGAGTTTAAAAAAAAAACAAAAACCAAAAAACTCTTAGTTCTTATTCTTCAAATACAACTTGTCTATGCAGGTAGACTGATGATGGACAGTCCAGGAAAACAGCTTTCTATAAGGCATAGGTTGTTAAAACCTTAGGACTGTTGGGCAGCAGGTATTGTGACAGTTAAGGCACTGGATTTCCAGGATTTACACATGAGCGACCACAGTTCAAATCCCTGACCCGGCAGCTTGAAAATTACATTAGGCACGTGTGCGTACGTGCCCAAAATCCTGAAAGGAGAATGAAGAAGGGATTGCAGCGTGGCCATCCTTCCTGGAGGGTGATTTCTCATTTTCTTTCTGTCTCTCTCCAGGGAGCATGTACTCCCTATGACTAAAACCTAAAAATAAAAAAATTAACAACAACAAAAAAGCCTTAGGACTCCTTTCTCTGTTTTGATACTTCAGTCACACAGCTTAATAATCTAGCAAAATAAAGGAGTGTTTGCTTTTAATGCAAGTATGGACTCCCACAATGTTGACCCTGTGGTCCCTCCCCGATCCCTGATGCTTAATTTTTCTGCCCACAGTTAGATTATTATGCCATGTGCCTTCATTTCCACCTTAATTATTTCCATTTAATCTCTTGCTCACTTTCAATCTCTCTGGGCCTTCCAGTAGGAACCTAGGAGGGCAGACGTGCTGGAGCGACCTGAGAGCAAGACAGGAATGCAGCAGACCCCTTTCTTTGGTGACCCTCAGAGTGCCAGAGAACCTGGTCACAGCTACTCTTACTCTCCTGCTCTGCAGCCCATCACTATTTTATTTTCCCATTATTATGGAAGTGGTAGTTCTTTCCAAGCTTAATTGAGTTAATAGCTTTGATGTTCTGAATCCAATTGAGGATAAGAATACTGCGACCAGCAGGTGGGGTAATGGTTATGTTACTGGACTCCAACGTAGTCAACTGCGGTTGAGTCCTGGACCCGGTAACTTAAAACTCATGCTGGGCATGTGTGCATGCATGCCCAAAATCCCCAGAGGAGAATGGAGGGGAAGGGATTGTGGCATGGCTATGCCACCTGAGGGGGGTGATTTCTCACTTTCTCTCTCTCTCTCGTGAGTACACGTACCCTATAGCAAAAATCTCTCAAGAAAGAGAGAGAGAACTTATGTCACTTAATTCCCAATCTTTTAAAAAAGAGTTAGCAATAAGCCATCCTCAGACAAAATCATGTGAACTTAAGGAACAAATTTTAATTTGATAAATGTCAGTCATACTGAAGCAAGGTCCCAGATGACAGGTCTTTTGCAGAGAATCTGCAGGATGTAAGAATCCTTTCAAGCATAGAAGACCTCGGTTACTAAAGCATCCTGTGATTTTCTAGTAAGTCAGACTCCAGCTAGCTAGCAGTGCCCTGTCGTTTGCTTTGAAAGTAGATGCACAGGGTGTTCTGCCAGCATCTAAATGACGATTTCTGGGTGCATTGAAAAATTTTTAATATTTTTAAAGGACTCGTAAAACCCTTATTTAAGCTTAAAACCTCACTTTTTAGAAGAATGAGTTCAGTAAGAACTTCTTATTGTTCTTGATAATTAGAGAAAAGCTTTATAACTCAATTAAATGATGACATAAACAAGAGCATGCATGTATTCGTTGATTTTTTTTTTTGAGTTAACATATCTTCTTGTGGGAGACCCAGGAAAAATAAAGGGAATGCAATGTCAATTGTCACAAATTATACTCAGCCTTTAACACCCCTTCAATTAAGAGATCCAGCCATTAGGATGGCTCTCGTAATGCAC